CACAAATACAACCAAAGTATGCCCTACAGTAATTGCTACTGATTTATAAGTTTCATCTTTTCACCTTCATACAACCTTGATAGCTACTAAATCACAGTTGAAAATACACCAAGACATAATTTACTAGCACTGTCCTGTCAACTCACTTAGCATTGGGATAAGCTTTGTATTTTTATTTTTATTGTATGTGAGAAGTACCTCAGATAATCCATACAATCATTTGGGTTGGAAAAGAACTTTAAGATCATCTGAATCAGTTCTAACATAAGCATTTTTTTTATATGACCCCCTAGGTTACATTCGTGATCTAAACTCATTTAAAACACGTTTACATATCTTGATGTCTTTAAGAAAGTCTTATACTTGAGGCACCACAAAAGTTCAGGTGTGTGCTTCCACGAATTTCTGTCAGGTGTCAGATCCTTGGGAATCCAAGGTGCATTTCTTGTGGAACCAAATCTCCTTGTTTTTCCTTTGTGAAATCAAAATGTACCATTCTGTGTAGCAAAATCCAGTTTGGGAACTTTAGCCACAGTTGAAAGGAGAACTCTTGTCCTTTTTGCCGACTAATTTTGCAAGTTCAAAAAATTAAGTCAACAGCATCATGACAAAAAAGGGTCTTTGTGTAACAGCCAAGCAACAGTTGCACATGCCATTGTTCTGGTAGTGACCCACAGGTTTAATCTTTGCTACCGTGTTACCTGTAAAAGAAGAGGAAAAAGTTACCTACACAGAATGGATCAAACAAAGCATGATAACATATGTTTTGTTGCTGCAAAGGAGCTGTACACACAAATGCATCATGAATTAACTTGCCCCAGCCATATGTATATACCTTGCAGAGAAACAGAAGGTACATGTAGATGTTATTCAATAGTATAAGGGAGATTTGCAGAAAAAGAAATAACTGTTCACTATTAAATTTGCCACCAATTTGCCACGGCAATCTCCACTTTATTTTGCTTATCATAATTTTCAGCACCAGTGTGTACCACCTACATCCCAAAAGACCATTTATGCAAACTGTTACCCATTCACAGCGGTCCATCTTACAGCAGGGACCTAGGGATCAGACAGAACAGGTTATGCGGGGGAAGAATTGTTCTTGCAGCAGAAGCTAGTCCCAGTTAGACTTCTCCCATGGAACCCTGCAGTGTCTTCCCCTTATGCACACTCAGTCAGATGCTTCAGGGATGTATGTGCAAGCCCTAATATATACACACTGCATGAACTCAGTGGGTTTGGCTACATGGTGATGAGTGGTCATGTCAGATTTCCCATCCTAGACATGGATGATAATGGGCAGCCTGCAAGGAAGAAAGCTTTGTCAGCTCTGCTCTGTAGTGTCTAGATGTGTTACAAAATTAACAGACACTCAGCATAGAGGTTTTTATCACCTTCTCTGAGGTAACTGATGTACGATACGAGCTCTTCAGCTTTTTACATTTTAGCTGAGCCACTCAGCTACTAACTATTCATCTAAATACTGAGTAGCATCATGAGTCTCCTGTGCTTCGGATACTTCATGTTACTCTAATATTTTCACAAAATGAAAAGAAAGAGGACTTCAAATTGATTAAATGGCATTTCTTCTTTCAGTGCATAATTAATCTGTGGAAGTCACTGTCCCAACCAGCACCGATACCAGGGTCTTAGAAAGCTAAAAAAAGTGATTAGAAATGTAAAGAGTAATAAGATTATCTTTGGTACGTAACAGAAAAAAGGATAACATGGAATGGATCTCAACTCGTGTTTTAGACATAAGCCAACTATTAAACTGGAAGAATTTCATGTATGTGTACGTTTTCTATAATTGTCCACAAGGGTTTTACTGTGTTTTCCTGATTAAAGTATCCCAGCACTGAGATACACAGGCTGCTGTACAGTTTGGACTACTGTTCCGACTGTTCATACAGTCCTACTTGTAAAGTTTTAATAATGCACTTAGTATGTATTTTGTTGATTGAGCTGAGTTTGGAATAATCTTTGGTTCATTTTTAAATGGAAATTTTCTTTCCATCCTATTTTCTATTTTCCTTCCAGTTCATTATTGCCTGTACCACAAGCTTCTGTTCAGAATCTGAAGTTACTATTACTCATTATATTTGTGCAACAACTATATCTTAGTAGACAGAGAAAACCACCCACAAGACAGAGAAAATACCTACAGAAGAAACATGGGTGCCAGGACAGATTCTGTAGCTGTCTGCTAGACAGCTCTCTAGCAAGCAGACATCTACATGTAAGGTTGTCACCCAGGGCTTTAAGGTACAGGAGAGAGAAATAATTACTCATGGGAACACTCCTGTGGATGGGCAGTCATGCTGAGACATCACCCTTTTCTCCTCATGTGACTTTAGAGCATCCTAAGTAACTTAGCTTGAATGGAAAATGCCTGCAGCTGGGCACAATAAATCCCACCCATACAACCTTGGACAAATCATGTCCTTTCTCACTTGGACCAATAAAGAAGACAAACTTCATTACTTCAGATTGATTCTCAAGAGGTTCATTACTCGAAGCTAATTATAGGAGTAAACTCAGTGATAGTATGACAAGACCTCAGTCTTTAGTAAATGTCACTACTACTGAAGATACAGCTATGTTAAATCTCAGTCTCCTAAAAGTAACTTTTCATGGTTTGCTTACTATCAAGTTATGTAAATGCATGGACAAGGCTTTTAGGGGTCAAAACTACCATATTTTAAAGCATTAAAGTAATTATTTCCCTGAAGTGTCTGCACATAAAACACATACAGCAAACCATGGAAGAATTTCTAGTAAAGAACAACTAAAAAGGGAAAGGCTGAGACACCTTTCTAAGGGATCTCCCCTTTAAGGAAGTCTGCTTATTCCCTTTCCTAACATGGTCAATCACTAATTAAAGGTTACGACCCTCTTGTGTCATTTCAATGTAATATTCAACCACTAACTTTGTTATTCACATCTGTATTTATACTACTACATTACTCCAAGACACCCATGAGAATCAGGATCTTCCTTATGCTGTTACTAACCACGCTCACAAGAAAAAGTCCTACCTCTAACACATTCTAATGAAAAACCCAAAACACAGGGCATTAAAAAAAAAAACAAAACCATGCAAGGAAAATGAACAGTTTTCATGCCAGTAATACTGCAGAATGATGCACATCTAAGCACAAGTGCCAGTTGTTTCCTTATCTTTTCAGTTAAATGTTCCTGAAAAAAATCTCCTATAGTAATAAAAATCAATGTAAAATACATTAATTTGCATCCCAGTAAAGGAGAGGAAGAATTTAATGAAACATTTGCACTCATATTGCTATACTTTAGCCTCTGCTAGACCCACACATACTCACTGGAGTTGACAAATTTGCACAGAGCTAATTGCAGGCAGGATGATTTGTCCCGCTCTAACTTTATAAGACATCCCTAAACTCAACGGAATGCATTACCATATCCTGTAGTTTGCTGGTTGCAATATTTGTCATGGATAATAAAATAAACGATCCATGTCAAATTTGCCCTTCTATTAGTAAACTCCCACTGACTCAGGATGCCTCTTTTCAGTGTTTAAGAGTCATGAACACAAGGCTGTATGACTTGTGTGGGCAGTTGACCTCAATGAACTAAAAGGCAGCTCTTCTCAAGCCTTCAGCCACCAGTGCCAACATAAAATTCATTCTTCTACCCTTCATCCCTCTAGTATCTATTGAAGGCATCAAGGATATTTAACCCTCGCTTACTCTTTTCCAATAAGGTCCAGCTCTCTTCTGGTATGTCCAGAGATGAAGTTGTCTTATTCAATATCTAGAATTCCTGCTTCACCAGTCTTACCTTTCAGTGTGATGCTACAACACTACATCTTACCTCTATATGAATAGTTCAAAGTCATTGCCCATGAAAATAATGTAAAGGCTGAGGGTAACCTAGATCTTGCAACATGCCAGTTACCTACACTGATTCTAGAGTGTTCAGGTCAACTTTCAGGTGGAGTATCCATCACAGGAGAACAGCAGAACCTAGGCACACTATAGATTACATCTTTGGCATTTGATAGATAACACTGATTTACAACAACTCCTCTGATCTTAGAAACAGGAATATGGTTTTCAGAGCGGTTGGTTTGGTCAGCTTTTCCAGCTGTGCAATGTCTGTAGAAGGGCTTTAGACTACCCATATACACCACAGCTGCCCAAACCATCCAATTTTCTGTTTCTTCCAAAACTCTGTATAGTTTTCATTCCTTAGAACAACTTTTATTAAACATTTGGTGTCAGTATTCACTTATTAACTCAGGCTGTAACCTAATCAACAACATTCATTTCTAACAAGAAGATGCTGTAAAGGGAAAAGCTAATGTCTTTCCTTGTTATTGCATGATAAAGACTTCTGTTTTATGATATATTTCAATATGCAGTTTGCTATGACTTATTGAACTTCAATGCACTGAACTCATTCTAGATTTTAAGCAGACAGAAGACATGATATTTTCTCTTTGCTCTTCATTAATTAAGAAATAGGCTGGCATAGCAAAGGGGTTTTTTTAAGAAATAGGCTATCTACAGGGTGGCCTGTAACTAGAAACAATCTAAACCAAACTGATTTCCAGTGGTGCTAAGTCCCATAGTTCCTACTGACGTTCAGTGCAAATTCTCAGTAACTCCCAAGACAGGCTGCTGCTTTGAAAAGGTAAAAGGGCTTTCCAGTAGCACAGGATTCTAACTTCAGATGATGCTGATAAAGACCTTGGATCCATATACACTGCCTGCAAATTAAAGAGTTAATCCCAGAACACAATTATCCCTCTAGCCCTAGTCACAATGTAATAGCTTCATTGCTCACTAAAGACTGAATCAGGCCTTTCTTCAGTTTGTTTCCAGCATCCAGTAACTTCACTAGGTTGACAGTGAAGTTCTAATGCAATATTTCCCTCTCTGAGAACAATTGAGGAGCCTAGTGCTGGTGCTCATACCCACAGTTGCAATGCAATAAGTGCTCTCAGCAGACTGCCACCTTTAAATATAGGTGATCTCCGTACTTGCCTTTGTGGTTTTGATTTTATTTCCACTGCTGCAAGACCAACCTGAATAGTCTGGTAGTACTTTACAGTCCTCTCCATCCAAACAGGGGTTCATATGACACCACCACTTCTGTAGGACAATGGAAGCTAGAAAAAGAAATAGGAAAGAGAAACAGAAGACAATCTGGTTTTAATTACTGTTGGTTTCAGTAAGGAGGTTATCTATGCAGTGTTCAATTGTTTGATTTCAAAAGGTAGAACCACCAGTTACTGTTTTAATAGTTAATCACACTGATTGCAGTTGAGCTAAAAATGGGCTACACACAACCAACCACAGAAGGGTAAATCCTATATGCAAATGGTGAAGACAGGCAAGCACCACCAGAGACTGATTCCAGCATTTGAATTGATCTCTGGAAGTGCCTTGCCATCTCAACTGACTCCAAAGATGACCTGCCTCCTTCATCTATATGCTTCAGTTAAGTACCTGCTATAAGGCAGAGTGAAACTAAAGCTTCTTGTTTAACCTGGATATGCGTATGCAAGACTGGATGAAGAAATGCCAGTTTCTCCCTTCACTGGGTGAGAAAATAGAATTGCACAGAGATGTAAGCATGTGAAGCCTGTCAGCAAATAGTGCAGATAAGAATGTGGAAACCACTGGAAAGCATTAGATTATTAACTAAAAATCTACTTGCAATTACACTGCCAGTTTTGCAGTTTTGTTTGGAACACTACCATAATACACCTTAACTGTGCAAATTTATTAATTTTCAAATCCTTAAGCCAGTTTCCATTAATAACACCATGGTTGTTATTTCTACAAATGTAGTCATGACTTCATAATACTGCTGTTAACAACAGATATACTTTCCCACAAACAGCTGCAAACATCTGCATGAAGTTCTGCTTTTCACTGCTCATGAAATTCCTCAAATCACAGAAAATTACCATGAAATATATCAGTTCACAATCTCTCATAATCTAAATTGGATTTCAAAATAAAATATGGCTTAAAATCTTGATTTAGTTCATGTACATTGTGCTACTATGCACACAAAATATTGAATTGCATGCTTTAAAAGCTACGACATCCAAAAGAGATGAACAAAAAAAATTTAGTCTACTGCTTATAAATCACTTATTCTCCTTTTAATTTCAAGGTAGATTCATACTTCTGCAATCTTTCAATTAGGGTGACAAGCAGGCAAGCTGACATCAAGATATTGCTGAAATGTTCATTCAATTACTTTGTTTTACACTTTCACTCTAAGCCTATGTGAAAAGCACTATGAAAAATATACTTCTGGAATACCAGTTTAGCTTGTCTAAACTATTCTTCCAATCTCATAAATGTATAAAATAAATTTATAACTCCTTTCACCAACCATTTGGTTCTTAGATCCTTGGTGCTGATTGACTGTTGACAAAATGAGTGAAACTTGACTATGCTTCCTAGGAGGTGAGAGATCGTTTCCACTCCAGATCTATGGGCTACTCACCCATTTTAATTCTGCTACTTACTGTATTTTTTTCAATTTCTATAGCACATTTATTTCAGGTAAACAAGAGCAAGCCTAGAAGGCCAGATTCAAGAAGACCAAGGGCATGTGCAGAGGTCCCTAAGCAAGCAGAAGATCCTGGTAGCAAGCTACCTGTATCTTCAGAACTTTGCTTCAAAGCCAGCAAGTGCTCCTGGGAGGCCCAGCTACTGCATTACACAGCTCTGCACAGTACTGTTGTGAGTGTGAATGCGGTGACATGCTGAGGCTTCACCTGAACTCTGACATGTGAGCATGCTTTCACGTATTTAGTGCTACCTTAAAAACAAAAGTTCAGCTTCAGACCTTGAAAACCACCTCTTGCTCCCCTGTGTCCCACAGGCACCTAGAATCCACTAATTCTTACGTCTGTTTCATGTCCAATTTCTTTGTGGTTGTAATGTTCAATCTGCTGGTCTGTACGTCCTAATGGGCTGTAGTTATTTGTGTAGAACAGACTCCTGAGATTAGTCCATTAAAATTCTCCATTGCAGCCATTAGGCTCCTCTTCAGAGCTAGAGTTCTTTGACTATCATTGTCCCTGTGCAACTCCCTGGAGGATATCAGTTTCGTTCTCTTTTCAAATAGAGGCACTCTCAGAGAGGTTTAAACCAGAGCAGCTATGTCACTCTCATACACAACCACCCACACGAAGGCAGACTGCTTTAGTTTGACATTAGCCAGCTGATTTGCTGGAAAGCAGCCAGAAACCCTTTGAGAAATAAATCTTCTGCTGACACCACTCCCTAGGTAGTGTGACACCATGGAAAGAGTAGGTTCATAGAGAGTTAGGTGTCAATACACTATCTCATCTTGCCTCACGCAATTCACTGGTTGTGCACCCAATTGTGTTTGGCTACACCCAATCTGGAAAAGGTGAAGAAACTTCTCCTACTGTATTTTTTTTGACAGTTAAACCATCTCAGCATGAAACACACTGCCTTAGTTTTTTGCCTCTTCCCACCTTTTTCGGCATACTTTCTACTCTTACATTACAGCACCTGTTAGTAATCATAATTTTCTCCCTGTGAAGGTATTATGTGCTGCAATCCAGTAACTTTTCAATATTCTGCCTGATAAGCTGAGCTGATTGAACTTCTTCAGTTTCACACCACAATTCATTTGTCTTTATTAATGCAGTCATTTCAAAGATGTTCCACTTCCTGCGAGTAGGACTATGCTTCTAGACTGCCTTGTGCTTGTCATTAATTACTCCTTTGCCCCACCAGATGAAGCCCAAACATAAGCTTTTTGTTAGGCGAGATTCTATATTTGCTTTCATGCCACTGTTGAAAATGTTGCAGTGTCAGGTGCATTGTGAAATCCAAGTAGGTATGGGAAGAAAAAGATTTAAATCCTCAAATGTATTTAGTAACCAAACCTTTCATTAAGTAAATTTTACATTATCTTCCAAGGTAACTTGGAAAACCTGGGCTTAAATATTTTAAACCCAAAACTATCTGTATTGAGTCTCAGAAACTCCTCAGAAAATGAAATCAGTTGGGTCTGGCAAATCTCTTTTCAGAAAACTACATAAAGTTCTGTGGTCTTTACTCCAGGAATTCCTTGCTCATTCGATACCACATCAGCTTCTCAGTTAGCCACACAGGGTCGAGATCAGCCTTAGTTGTGCCTAAGTATCTAGACAATGCTGCCTACGCTTTCAAAACTGACACAGTACTAGTGCTCTTCTAGAATACCCCCAAGTATTCTGAAATACATTTTGAATTACAGCAACTGACCAGAGACATACAAGCCAGCTTGTCAGGACCTCAAGGTCAGAATGGGGAAAAAGTTTAATATTAGTAGATGTTGCTTAGCACTCTCTTCAGTTAGCAATAAGTTAGAAAATACCTCTCCAATCTGTTACTTACCAAAAGAGCTGTGATATTGATATGCCTTAACAATGTAATATTTCATGCATTATGGGCCAATAATTTCTTTTTTAAGGATTTCTGTGTGCTCTGCTTGAACAACTAAATTCATACTGCCTTTAGTCTGGACAAATACAGATGTCTTTCCTACTCCACTGGGTTAAGGTTTCTTCCATAAAAAAATTCAGTATACTATGCATTCTACTGTCTATTTCCCTTTATTCTTTGAATACTAACATGGCATTAGCATGGTTCCCAAGTATTCTGAGAACCATTCAAAAACAGTGGGAGATAAATCTTCTTGACTATTTCTTCTCTTATCTGTTTCTTATGTATTGGATTTTTGTGTTCTTGTTTCTATATGCTCTCTTCCTTTCAGTCTGTAACACAGATGGGCTATCAGCCAAAATTGTCTTTTTCCTTCATTGCAGCTCTTTGGCCCTACAGAAAATTCTGAAACAATTCTTCAGTTCTATTCGCATTTTCTTCCAATCTGTATGATTCTTCATAAATTCTAAGAATAATAGAATTGCCTGGATGGAAGATGACTTGGCTAGCGATGATTTACTTAGAGGCATTTAATGCACTTAGCTAAGATAGCTACTCCACAGACACAAGTTATTAATGTTTTATCTCCTTGGCAGTAGCTGTTAGACAAGCTGGAGGTACTTACTCAAGGATATTTATTTCCATAAAGAAAATGGGTATAAACAAAACCTCACGACTACTTTCAATGTAATTCATTCATTGACAGAAAAGTGGGTTGACCTTTACTAAACAAAATTTTCTGTAGCTGCATTCAAATAACTATTGCTACAACTCAAAGCAGGGTACAGAGACTGTGTGATATATCCTCTCTGCATATTTAAATGCTTTTTTGTGCATGCTTTGCTTTTTTCTGAGTGTACTGGCTCAATTTATCTACAGCAGCATTTCCCAAAGTATCAGATGGGCCTGTGCTTGGAAGCTCAAATAACCCTCAGGAAAATGAGGTGTGCATGTGTACAGAAGAACTAGCTGTGCTCTTTTGTTTGCCAGTGCTTGTCAATAGCTTTCACAACTAAGTTAAAATATACAAATGACAGAATTGCTTGTTGGATGCATCCAAAATGCAACTATCTAAGTAAGTATGTTAACATGGGCAAAAGATAAAAAAACATTCTGAATATCCAAAGAGTTTTTGCCCTGTTCTCTCGTCTAGCCTACGAGTGATTATACTGTGCTTGTAAAAATGCTAGGAAGATCTCAGTCTATAACAAACATTGATTTTCACCTCCATATCCTTTTTAAATGAAGTACTTTGACTTTTACTGCCAATATTTAAAGTTTCTGAGGTGAAAGGCACTCTCGAAATGCAAAGCACTCTATAAATGTCAGTTAGGTGCCACGACACAGTGTTACTTGCACAACATGGGAAAGGACTGATTTGGAGCAATCACAGTAAAGACTTTCATTTCATGTATTTGCAAGATTTAACTAGCTTTTATTTTCCTTTATGTACCACTTCAGCACCTTTTCCTTGGAACTCACTTGGATGTCTATTTCTTCGGTAACACAAGTACTTGATTTCCTCCATAGCACATATCTTGAGGAAAAAAATGTCACTTCTATGTATAGGTGTATGCTCAAAAGTAATTACTCAAAACTCCATTCTGACATGGCTCAAATAAGAAGCCTTCCTGAAATTTAGGTAGCTGTGAATATTGGTATATACATTCACTACTTCTTTGAGCCAGGCTTAGCCTTATGTGCAGTGCTGCTCCAATAAACTGCTGCTTTAAATCTGAACTTGTGTAAAATTCTTTAGCATCTGTCAACCTATTTCAGAATGTAAATATCTGGCTGGCCTATGGCTGATGCTAAAAAATGTAATGATGGGCTTCATAAGCCTTTTTCATGGCCTATATATATGAAAGTCCACAATGCCCAATACTTATCAACTAGCAGCTCTGCCTGATGAAGTAGGCTCTACCCCACCTAAATTAACAAACAAGCTGTCGCTGAAAGCCAGTGGGATTTAGGTCAGGAGACCCATATGCTTCAAGACTGAGAAAACTAAGGAAATACTCAACTAAATTAAAAAACAGGATCTTCTGGGTCCCTTCCAACTTGAGACATTCTATGATTCTGTGTAGGAACTGTAGGTACCAACCACCACATGCATGCCATGCCTAATCAACAGCACAGAAAAAATTGCTGCCCTACTGTAGTGATAACTACTACTGGATGGGGTCTGAAGTTCAAAGAAAATGCTTTAAAAGAATGCTACAAGTCAGCTGCTCTATATAATCTTTTCTTTTGGCAGGAAAAGTAACTCTGCTTTGTGCATGTTGTTCCCTTTAATCTCAGGGCAAAATATAGGCAAAATAAACAGCCCTGTGTTCAGGAAAAAAGTGCTGGAAAAGAAAATAAAATGTCTATATAAAAATGAAATATGCAAATTTGAGGCATCAACTGTTTCTGGTTTCTATGGTATAGAAGCCTACTGAAGGATATGTACAAAGCAGGAGAAAACATCTAATCCTGAGGCTAAGGAAAGATAATTATCGTTTCTGTGCTACAGCAACTGACTGTAGTCCCAGATACTTGCAAAAATAAGCAAAGTGTGCTAAAGCGTTACCCTAAGGGTTGAGGTAGAATCAAAGGGTTCTACTTTAGAAACCAAAATCTTACATTCATAATATTTTGTTGCACTTAATTTCAACTATACTTGAAGAAAAAACAGCTACTAAATTCTTTCAGCAACTATTTGCATTGACTGAATTAAGCTTCAAGATATTGTACATTTATATCTATCATAGAATGAGTGTCACCTTTGCAATCCTTAAGGAAGTTTAAAACAATGCGTGACTTTTAATATCTGTTGTATATGCAAAAGTATTTCTGCTGTTTGATGTGTCACCTAAAAATACAGAATGTACTTCTAATCTGACAAGAAAACTACTTAACAAATTGCACAGTTAAAGCTGATTGTGTTCCTGAATTACAAGGCATGAAAATGCTAAGCATGTAAATAATAATTTTAAAAATCCTTTCTTAAATAAGAGGTTCTTAAAACAGGTAATAGATTTAAAAAAGATAAAAAAATAAATCAGACATCACATGTATTTTGAGTTTTATGTTTAAAACTAAATACCTTTGAAGGTTTTTCTTTTATATTTAACTTGAAGTAGTTGCAATTTTTGTGTGAAAAAGAAGGAAAACAGAAGAGTCTTGCTTATGAATTCATGAAATAGGGGATCCAGTAACCTGCTTTCTAAGTTAACAAGATCAGCAGCCTCTCCAGTGAATAGATTCTGATGGTGGAAAAGGAAGAAGGGTAACCCACAGTTTCTGAACTGCTGGTAAGCCAGAGAGGAAATTTAGGGTGAAGTGCAGAATGAATGTTGAGGAGGCAAGTTTTATATAGCCTCAGGATGCCTGGTCAACATCATGATCAAGGTAAGATTTTGTCTTTAGTGTATATAATAAATTTAATTTCAAATGAGTTATACTGCTAAAAGCGTAAGGATGCCAACATTGAACCCTGTGAGGAGTCCAGCTAGAGTCCATCACTCAGGAAGGTGACAGACTAAGGCAACTGTACCACATTTTTGCTTCATCAGGCATGTGCTCTAGCTCAGACACTGTGTCCTGTATAGCAGTGTATACTGAAGTATTTGGGGTTACAACACGTGAAACTGAATAGACATGGGGCATCACTGTTACACTGATGCCCAGCATAAGAGACCATCTGGCACATAAAATGATAAAACATTCATCTAGAGAACAGCTCTCAAACTCAGATGTCTCAGCACTATCTGCATGCTCAGTCTTAGGGCTGCATTTATTATATTATTATTATTTTAAGCCAAGTTAATAAGTCTAAAGACATCTGGAAGAGTTAATATTATAAGCTTGAATTTCTTGGCTTATGCTGTTCTCAGACTAGTTTTAAACAGTTCTTGTGTGAAAAAGCTGAGTTTTATTGGCACAGACATGAAATAGACGAGTACATATATTAAGGGGATTAATTACATCCAGATTTATGCACAGGCTCATTATCATCAATGCACAGAGATGTCTCCAAAATTAACAAAAGGAAGGATTATACTTTTGAGGCAGTGGGAAGTCAAATAATCAAGGAGAACAAACTCTCAATCTTAATGAACTATGAGCGAGCAGAAGACTGCTTACCTTCCACACACGAGGGCTGAGCCCTTGTTGTACCTGCCACCTGCCCCGGGAAGCAGGAACACTTGACTGTTTGTGATCGTTCTTCAATACGGTTCTTATTGCAGCAACGATGCACTGCCACAACTTCACATGTCCCTTGCTTGACTTGGTGCTGGCCTATTAATTGCAGAGATAAGTGATGGAGAGCAAACCAAAACATCAGTGCACCAAGAAAAAGCCAGTTCATACAAGATACTGAATCTCTCAAACGTCCCAGGAAGACAAAGGGGCAAAGCATCTTGTAGACTCTCAGTTATTCCCCAAGTTTATTCTATTCTTATTAATAAAGATAAGTTCATCATAACAAGTCAATTTTTCAATCTATCTTCCCTGGCGTTTACAAAGCCATAGGGAAAAAAAGAGATTGGAGTAGTCAATTAGATGGATTAGAGAAGGAGACATGCAGAGACAGAGCACACCCTTCCTGCCTTTGGCTTCCTGTCTTGCATCAGGTTTTATATTTAATTCCTTCCCTCATAAGTGAACACAATGGATTGGGTAATATTTAGTGCAAGGGAGACTTATCTAAATAATAGGGAAACTTTCTAACATACACGTAAGCACCACTACCTATGTCTATCATTGCGTGTGGGCTAAGAGCAAAGTAGACTGAAAAGGTGTCATAGATAGTCAAGTTTTGTTAATAGACAAGAAAACAAAGCAACCCAACAAACTATAAGGATTTCTCAAATTTCATCCCAGACCATTTTGAAGAAACCTGAGATACTCACACTCAAATTACTGCTTTCCTCTCAAGTGGATTTCCTCACGACTCACTGTTCCCTATTTCCGAGTTTATTTTATCCTTCCTCTCCTTTCCTTGCTCCTACCTTCATATATTACGTCCACTGCTCCTTGCACCTGACCATTTTTCTCCACTGCCAAACTTACTCTCTGCCTTGTGTAAAATGCTTTCTCAGAAACCCCATTTCACAAAACCCCTCTCCTCTTTGCATAAGTCATTTCCATGTCCTCACTTTCCTGAATAGCCTTCAAGTGCTTCATCTTTCATTTGTCTAGTCTTATTTAGAGTAGAGCCTTGGATGGCCCTTATCAGTGTTTGTAAAGCGCCTTGTAAATTAACAGCACTACAGAACAGGGTGAGTTTTTTAATAAGTGAGCTAGACAGAGAGACAACACAGAGAATAATAAAAATATTCACCATCAAAGCAGTACAGGCTCCTTATATGACAAGAGACTGCAGTACAGATATTGGTGTAGGTGGGGGTAATATCAAAGGCACAGAAGATGGGAGAATAGAAGGTAAAAGGGAGAGCATTCCTCAGAAACAGACAATCCTCAAGTGGCAAGCCTGGGGGATTGCCCTGTTTCATACTCACTTCATGCTTCCCTTGCTGTGTTTTTTTTGGGGGGGGGGAGGTGTGGTGGGGTGTGGGGTGGAGGTGGGGGTGTGGGCTTTATAGCATCAGTTACTAATACCAGACACAGAATTTTAAGATATAGAACACCTAGGTCTGGTGCAATATAGCCAAGCTCACATCCTTATTGATGAAATGTCATTGAGTGACTAAGATCACTGTATTTTGGGGGCCAAAATTTCAATGAGTTGAGTAAGTGAGAAATCTTCAACCTCCAAAAGAGTTAGCAGTGCAATTTAGGCTTCTAAGTGTGTGTGTGTGTGTGTGGGGGGGGGGGGGGTCAAAAATAAAAGGACAGTATTCAAATATATAATACATAACTTTTTAAAAGGTTTCCTTGGCAATGTTCCTTTGCTTGCTTGTGTTTTGGTTTGACCAAGTATTTTAACTAAAGTGCTGTCCAACTTCTGTTGCCAAATTTGTACCCATAACAACCTCAATGGACAAGAATCTACGTATATGCAATCCAGGAAAGGAAATTTAGTTTTCTATTTGTGCACTCAACACACACAACGCAGTAAAAGAAAAATATATATATATATAAGGATCTTTCGGGGCTGCTTTTTCTTTTTCCCTGAGGAAAAACTCCACTGCACTTTTAAGCAGAATATGCTACAGCAGAAGAATGCATAAGGTATTTTACAGAATGTTAAAAATGTTGAAGACAGCATAGAAGTATCTTACACAGTAATAATAAGCTATTGGCAGACTCCGAATTTTCATGCAAGTACCCAATACCCATATCAGAATAAACATAAAAAAAAAAATGAAAGCAGCTACCAGCTTGTAGGACAGAAACTTCTCTGTAAGTTAATATGGACAATAAATACACAAACAGAGAAAGTAAATTGGCCATGCCACTGCATTTCAAAATATTGGTCTATAAAACACATTGCATGACAATGCTTGGGGATGATAAGCAGATGGCCAGGGGTTGACAGAAAAGATTTTGTGAAAAGAGGTTTTTAATTCAAAAATAATGTATTTATTTATTAGATCTACAGCCCTAGCCAAAACTCTTTGGATTAAGCAGGGGAAATTTTCATGGGTTTCCTGTAGTGCTTAAGGTGATGGGCCTGCATCCACCAGAATCAACAACAAAGTTTCTGTTGACTTCAGGAGAGCAGGGTCACCACCTGGACTGTCTCTTGAGAAGGAGATTTTATAAGGGAAGGAAGAAAAAGTAAAACTTTGGGACTGCTCAGGCCATATACTTGAGTTTGCCATGTGCCTCATCTGAAAAACCAAGCAGACAGGTCCTCTTTTTAAGAAAAGTCATCATTCACAATACATCAGTTGCCAAGATAAGCGTAGAAGCCATTTTTTCAGAAGGTGCATCATGAGGATGGAGGACTAGATCCAGCTCCAGCGATCAATATGTAGCTGAATGTCTATTTTCAAACCCTAATCCCGCTTCCTTTAGGTGAACAGTCCTGTTAAGTCAATGCCAAAGTAAATCAAACAGGCTGGCCCTGAGCATACAGCCTAAAAAAACTGGGACTCTCTTTCAGTTATCATGTTTGAATTCTAAAGCAATAACAGTATTCCCTTGAAGTGCCAGGAGTCAACAGGTACACAGATGTTTGCTGAAGGCAAATCTAGTTACCTCATGAATGCATCTTTTGTTTGAGTAGCTGTTTTACTGTTCATGTTTCAAAGCTACACAGGCAAGTAAGAGAAAGTGTCCCCTCATCATCTGCAGGCAGGAGTGTGATGCTAAGGTTTGAAAGTACTGCTGCCATGCAGAGGAAGACAGCGCTCTCGTCCCCGGTCCCTAGCTCATATGGAGTATACCAGTGAAAGGTACTAAAAAAAGCCAAAGACATCTGCATGCATCATTTGCATTAATTGGATTGCCCTTGTAATAGTCTTTCCCCTCCTACATGTTCACATCTATATTTCCTCCTGCTTGTTCACGCACATCTGAACACCTTTTATTCTGTTGAACGCCATGCACATTTCTTCTTAATATTCAGACACATCTGCAAGCAGGTGCTAAACAAATGCCAAGTGTTAACGTGCTGGCTTTCCATCTCATTTTTGGTTTCTCAGGAAGCAAAGCATTAGAGGAGCAGGGAATGAAGGATTTTTAAAGTGTAAAGATCACAGTAAGTGAATTCAACGCTGGACACTCTGAAATGGCTTTCCTGATGAGAACTACAGTGAGAGACAGAAAGCCAGGCTGTGAAGAGCAAAGCCCCTTTGGGCTCACTTATAAAAAGCCCAAATTTATAGCTCTTCACCTGTAAACCTATTCAGATGTTCAGCTTAAGGGTTGTCAATATTTGCAGTTTAAATTCAGTTACATCTTCACATTTAAATAAGAAAACTCTCCAAGGAGAAATACATTTTATCAGCAACAGTACCAGAGAAAGGTTCCCATCATAGAACACCTTCTGCATACTGAAGAGGGAATGCCTGCCAGCCAGGCACTGTGGAGGACAGAGTATGAATGTCGAAGACTATGAGGCTCTGGGTTACCTCTGATCAGGAGTCTGGCACATGTATTACTCTCCATATCCCAATTCTTTTACAGTTTATCTTCCCTAGAAATACCACTGCTATTCAAGTTCACTAAGAACACTTTCCCTACCTCCCCATGCAGGGCACAGACATAATGGGATAGGGTTTCCTAATGGAAGCAGCTTCCAGGACACTCCCTGATAAATATAAATAAATAAACATATTAATACAAGTATTACATATTAATATAAAAAATATAAATTTTGCTGCCTTCCATGATGAGGTACGTACAGATAATAACATGTGCCCAAGTTCAGAATGCCTCTTAATGCCTCAGTGACTGGCTGCACCAAGGCTCTCTGACCATTTCTTAGTGGGCTTTCCAGCCCAGAAGATGGTTCTATGCAGAGCTGCTCAGCAATCTTTACAGTTTTCAGAGAGGCAGCCATCATCTCTGAAGAACAAGAATGTACAAACTAGGAAGTTACTAGGCTTGTACGTTACAAGCCAGTACAAGTGTTGTGAACAGAGTTGACTTAATAATCACAACTGAGCTGCTTATTCTCAGTTTAATACATTTTTTTTCAACTAACATATTTGACAAGACCTTATTTTCACTTTCTTCATAGAAGTCAGGGGGCAGATATGCAATTAATGCTTCTAAAACTCTTTGAAATCCTCAAATGAAAAGAGGGAAATACAATTATTGTTAATAAAATATCAAACTTCATAGTGATGTACTTCAAAACTACAAGGAAAATATCAAAGAAAGAGGAAGGCTTTCAGAAGGTTGCTAGCCAATTCTATCCACATCCATTTCATCTCTGTGACTAATTCTAATCACTCCCAAGGAGTACTCTTTCAATGCAATATACATGCAGGCAGCATGCCTTCATCAGAAATGCTGAATAACCTCCTCTTTTTCTAGTTTCTTAGTTAAGAAGCATACAGAAAAGACACATTTAAAGGGAATTTTTATCTCTGCCCTCTTTGAAGAAGAAAGCAACTAGTGCTTTGGAGAACAGCACATCTAGATACTAGGACAATATGACCCTAGCTCAGCACATTCTTTAGTAAGCCTCAAAACCAGCAAGCTTGGTCTGCACAAAATCAACTGCATCATTTATTTATAGAGTAAGAGTATGGCTGTCAATAGGAAGATGAATGACTATGGAACCTAATGTTGCAAACAATAGTAAGAGAAAAAAGTGAGTTTAGAGGTCAGTACTGATACTGTTTGGAAGAGGAAAGACCTCTGAAAAGCTTGGTGGCAGT